TTTATGAAATTTTGTTTCTTCCATTGTATTTTCTTTTGTACTGAAGAAAGCATTAGGGTTTTGGTAGGTTGAGATATTAATCATAATATTTTTTTTTTTATGATTTTTTTTTCTTTCTTACAAAGCAAAAATGGTTACAAGTTAAATTACTAAATGCAGAGAGTCGAAACCTGACACTCTAAAATTTATCAAAAGTATTAATCCATTAAATTATGGAGGCATCTACCATTATGGGTCACTTGCAATGACAATAACATTCAATCAACTTTTTTCTATAAAAAAGAGAAATAAATAATGGGGCTTATCAGGGGTCTAGTGAACATGTATACATAACAAAAGTACCTAAGAAAGTAATAAAAAATCAATTGTGGGAACTTCAACAAGCATCAAAATATGCAAACGTTTGCAATCATGAACATTCGAAAGACTTTAGTATTAAGTTTATGGGCCTAGCTGGATGATTCAAAATCAATACATAATTAAACTTGTTTTTCTATTTTTATTTTAAGACAAGGAATATATTCGTACATCCACTATTTTTAGTAGGATTTAAACTTTCCATTTTATATTTTGAAAGGTAAGAAAATATTAATATGTTATAGGTTTTGGTATAATAAATATCACAGTTCATAACAGGCAACTGTGGTACCTATGTTTCGATTCCATCACTACAAGTGAGGATATAAATAATTAAATTACACTTTTTTTAACAATTATTTGGTCAACATTGATATGAATTTAGGGATGATTTTGTGAAAATTGAGTAACATTTTCAAATATTAGGTACCGAACTGCAAGTGGGTTGGAAAATAATGAATGAATGCCAGCTAAAGATGAGAGAGAGTTAATAATAATGGGGAAAAGTGGTAGCTATGTTTATGTGTTGGGATCCACCAGATGGGATGCACGTGCGATCCAGCAGATTTCAGATGGGACTGATCGTGTTGAGAGTACTAGTTATATATAGCTGGTTTCAATGTCTGTGTTTACCACCAATATATGGAAAGCTCATGGACTAGCTTGTCGTGCCACCATGCTGCCCACCACGTGAACTCCACAAGCTGTCCTTTCCTTTCTTCCAAACAATATTCACTATTCACTTATTAATGTTCTATTGAATCTATTCTTTATACATATATATATATATACACACACACATATATACACATATATATATATATATGTAGATGTGTTATTTGTTGGTTGCTTTGTCTAGGGTCATTCCCCCCACCCCACCCCTCTTCTATTCTGCTTTGTATTATTGGTTAAAATGTTGAATTGAACTCCGACAAAAGGAATCATAGTTATTTTAATCAAGAAAATCAAGAGAATACCTAGAATCTCTATTTTTTATATATCAAGAAATCAAGAGAAAAGTTTCGAATCATGTTATTATTATATTTGGAGGAGATCAAGAGAATGTTTTTTTTTTTCTTTTTTCTTTTTGGGTAAGTGTAATTAATATCTTGAGATGAGTTCACGGACATGCAAAATAATGACAACCCATATTAATCATCATGTTGCTCATAAGTATTAAAATTGTCATATATATCATAAACCTTAAATATTTTTAATTGACAAAAGACACAAGTTAGTTTGGTAAGAGGTATATATCTTAAAGGTGAATGGTATAAGCATTTTGCAGTAAACCTTTCTTTTTTTTAAAAAAAAAAAATAATAATAATAATAAATAACCCCACAACTAACCAAGAGGGATTACTTTTATTAAAGTATTCCCTCCAAGTCAATTGGGTGTGGGGAGGGGAGGTTTTATACAATTCTTCCATCATGAATCTTATTATATATATGTATATTATGTTTTTCTTAAATTTAAAGTATGATAATACATGTAATTAATAAATACACGCGCATCAAATTCCCACAATTGGGTGAATTGCATAAAAATTCTTTTAACCTCGGAGGGGTATTTTTAACAATAAGTCAAAAAGTAATTGAAGATATTTTTAACAAAAAAATATCTAAAAGGAAGTTCACTGCAAAATGCTACAAATCAGATGAGGGTTAATGCAATTCCCCTTATCTTAAATCGATTTCGATTTGGGTTTATGAAGTCGTGACCCGATATTAACCTAAAAAAGAGAGGTTTGTGTGGGTTTTGACCCATTTCTTTTTAGCTCCTCATGGACTCAGTTTTAGGACTCTTACGTAACCCGACATATAAGGGTGACTAAAATTTGAGGTGTGGTATGAGAGGACATTGGAAACCACACATTAGAGACTAATAAGAGTGAAAGTTTGGGGCTGAAACTTATAATCGCCTATTTTATTTTGCATAGTGAAAAATCTTTCATTGAAGATGTACATATACTTTAGCTAAACCAAATATATCTTTGTATTCTTTAATTTTGTCATTGGTTTGCGATTTCCTTCGTGCAAGAATTTCAATTGCTCCAGCTTATATGCGATATTCTATCAAATGGTAATTAGACACGTCTATTAACTATTTTGGCGTGAGAGAAAATAAAATAGGGGGTAAATTACATTTACCTATTCTAAGATTTGGTTAAATTACTCATAGGTAGACCGTTTAGCGTATATTACATTGACTTTTCTTAAATTCATTAGCCAACGACAAGAAAATAATTTTGAGTGTGAAAAATCAGTCATATCCTTGTATTATTATAATATAATATATTATATTATATTTTATACAAGGGAATGGTAAAATTTTCATTTTATAAATTTTAATCAATAACTCCGTTGAAAAGAAAATACTAAATGCCCTGCCGACCATACTCCGTACATAACACACATCAGGAGAGGTTGAAGAAATAAAAACTTTAAAGATTACCGTGGTTTAATTTGTCCAGACCTCCTGAAAGTTTCCCGTAATACACCGTGAAAGACTAACTCCAAAACAAAAAGAGGCATCTAAGTCATGGAATACGCGTCACGAGACATAATTTCTAGCCGAATTAATGATTTAAGTTGATGATGTTGATGAAGAAATGTTGAGAGTAGTACCAAATTAACGCAATTATGGAGGTTTTGAATGATAAAGTGGATGCATCATGCAAAGCTTGACGGCCATCTGCCGACACGTCGCAAATGTTGAAAATCAAATCCACGTTTGTGGAATATTTTGTACTAAAAGGAGGGTTTTTGATTAATGGTAAAAGATTATTTGACACAAAAATCATGATTAGATGGCTAATCATGATTATGTTTAGGTAATTTTGTCCCTATCTTTATCAAAAATCTTCAAACCACGTTGTGTTACTGTGTCTCTTTGATATAGAATAAAGCAAAACCTAGTAAACATAATGTGGCTTTGCGTCACAGATTAAGTAAAACTATTCAATTAGTGGCCCATCCGCTAGTCTCACCAACTTTCTTTGGTTTTAATCTGAAAAGCTTGAATGTAAGTTTATGTGTGTGTAAAAAAAAATAATAATAAAAATTCAATTCAGGTGATAAATATAGATGGTTCAAATCGAGGAGCAAAGCATGAAATATATATATTTTAAAATAATATGCTAAATCAATTACTAATATAAGAAATATAAATACTTCACCAATATAAGAACTAAAATATTATTTGGAAATATGTTGAAAGCCATGCATGAAAACTACATCCATTGATTTCATAAATTACAGTAATAAATTTAAATAAAAAAAGAGAAAAAAATAACATACTAGGCAAAAAGAAGAATTTTAAATAGTAGGAGGAAAAACAAAAGAAGGAGAAGAAGAAAAAAAAAAAAATGAGAACTTTGAAAGGAAAAAAATTAGAATTTGACTGAAGAAGAGAAATTTAACTCTTAGAGGGCATTATATATAAATTTTCATTGGTTAGGTATACCATTGACGTGGTATGCCGACGCACTCAATATTGACCGCAGGCCAAGGGGCATGTGTTCCCCTGGCATACGCCTGCTCCGCCCCTAATTGTAAATTGTAAATGTAATAAATTGGGACGAGCCTAGTTGAGATAAGACCTAATACAAACCGATTCAAATAATAGAATTGACCTATTTTACTCCAGTTGGTCCTATTTTTCACCGGCCGCACTTAATTAGTGTTACAAATTGTCAAAGTACGTTTAGTCTAGCTAAGTGGTCGCACTTCACAAATTTAAAATAAAACTTTCAATTTTTATCAAATTCAAATTTTCTTTTAATTATTAGTTAATGGATTTATACTTGAAGTATTGAAGCAACACTAGTTAATTCATTTTCACATTATACAATCATATTGTGAATCACCAAGGATGGTAGTTAATTCATTTTCACATTATTCAATCATATTGTGAATCACCAAGGATGGTAGTTAATTCAATAATATCTCATCAACGCGTGTGAGTTTCTTGCTAAGAATATATATATATATATATATATTATAACTAGCAACCATCCCCTAATACGCAAGTGAAAAAATCTATAAAAAAAAAGAGAGAAAAAAACTGATCCCAATTAATTTAGTTAATTTACTTCCATATGACCCAATCGTATTGAAACAGGCAAGGTTTATATTTGCATGACAATGACTAGTAAGTAACAAATTGAGAGAGAAAAAATCGAATTTAAGATCTGGGACACTAAAAACCTTACATTTTATCACTTCGACAAAGTATACATTTCAACTCAGAATTAAAAAGAATAGGTAAAGTTGGTCAATATTTATATGAAGAATTAAATATTTTTTCTTCACACCAAAGAATTAAATTAACTACACCAGGATTTGTTTTGTGTGTGTGTGTGTGTGTGTGTGTGTGTGTGTGTGTGTGAGTGTGAAAGAGAGGTTGGTAAAAAATGGAAGTGGGGACACAGAGAAAATAGGTGTTGGGGTTAGGAGTGAAAGAAGGGAATGGGTCAAGCGGTCCTAACACGGTAAAGCATCAGTTCCTCACCTGTCCTCATCCCTGCCACACTTTTTCCCGACCCAACTACAATCTTGTCCCTGACTTCATCCTTTTCTATACCCGACATTAATGTTCCTTAAATTTTAACTTTCTCTCTCTACATCTCCCCCCCTTCTCTCTCTCTCTCTCTCTCACTATATATACACACACACATATATGTATATGTGTAATATTATAAATCAACTTCAAACAAACAAGCACTAGTGGTAGCTCCATATAAACTAGTGTGTACTTTAAGAAAGCTCTCGTCTAGTCTTGGCCCATTAATTTTCTTTTCTTTTGATCCATCATATATATATATATACACACACACACACACATATATATATTAATTTGTTTGTTGTGTATTGTTGGATATGGAGCTTCAATTGAGTTTGGCACTTCCAACCCAAAATCCAATGAAGGACGTCTACTACGTGAAAAAGAAACGCAGTGTGTATGAGGCGTTTGGATCACATGACAACGCCTCTGACAAAGTGTTGCTGCCTTTATTGCTGTGGAATGGCCAGCCAAACGAGGAAGAAGAAGATGATGATCCCAATGGACCAAACAAAAGAGTCACTACTGTTGTCAACTCTGACAAGTAAGTACTCGTAGTAGTTATTTGGATTTATTTATAAATATAATTTCAAAATATATATATATATATACACTATATAATCACCAAGATTACAAAGCTATATATATATATATATATATTTATGATAAAAGCGAATTGGATATTTATACAAGTTTTAACTAAACACCAAGATCGTAGATGTTTCTAGGAAAAAAAAAAAACACACACACACACACACACAATTTTTACATTACCTTCTTCGATCGAATTCTATTTTTTTTTTCTTCTCCTAATGAATTTCTATCAAATCTAACTAATTTTTCTCTCTTCTTATCATGTTCAATGTGTCCCTCTAGAATAAAGTTCAGAGTCTGGAAATCAATTTTAATTTTCAAATTTTATTTTTTCAAAGGCCCAAACCCAACCTGTTTAAGCCCAATGCTTAAATATCCTTGATGATGGGCCTTGAAGGTATAAGCCCGAAGATTTAGCTGTTCCGGTCGGTCCCAGCCTGAGTATTTTGGGGTCGGCCCAGCCCATTTTAGACCTCTTTCTTCTAGCTCCAAGTCACCAAATTCTTTCTCAAGTATTAATTTTTTTTTAAAAAAAAAACAAAAACAAAAACAAAAACAGAGCATTAATTTTATTTGTTAATGACCTAGTGGGACTCCACTGGTATCAGTCCTATTAACACTTGGGCACGGGGTTTACACTCAATATACTGAATATGTTTTGTGGAGACATTAAAAGTTCGTCCTACCATCCAATTGTACTACATCAGACAAGGACATTTTTGTACTCTCACATAAATAAAAAATGGACTGATACATAATTTTTACTGCATAATTCAATAAATATCAACTTTTAATGAATTTTAGTATTTTTGGTAAATTTTTAAAAATAATTTAATACATTTAAGTCGTCGTTTTCATTAAAAGCTTAATAATTTAGAGTTTTTATTAAATTAACGAGTAAAAATAGAAATTTACACTAAAGAAGTGATAATTTATGACATGAAACACATTATTACATAGAGAAAATTATGTATATATACATATATACATGTATTTGATTATGCATAATTCAATCCCATACCATATTGGCTACCCCATCTAACTCGTTGAATATTGAAATTGCAGTAGTATTAAGGGAGAGGAAAATCAGGTAGTGGGATGGCCACCAATAAAATCATGGAGGAAGAAGCTGTTATCTGATCATGACCATCAAGTTGGTCGGATCATGATCAATAATAATCGGACGGCTGAGAGGGGAAGAGGTGGATCAAACTCTATGTATGTGAAGGTGAAAATGGAGGGAGTGGCAATTGGGAGAAAAGTTGATCTAAGGCTTTATCACTCTTATGGGACACTTACAAACACCTTGATCACCATGTTTGCTAGATGTAAGTCCATTGATTCAATTATTCACACACACACGCACACACTAATGAGTGAATTTCATAAACCCATCTAAACACTATTGTCAATATATATATTCTAGGAAGTTTTGAAACAGAGTTTAACAGGGTTGGCTCTGTTTTTGTGTGTGCATAGACCAAAAAAGTGACAAAGATGGTGTCCGTTATACACTCACTTATCAAGATAAAGACGGAGATTGGCTGCTTGCAGGAGATGTTCCATGGCAGTACGTGTATATATATATATATATATTCTCCAGTCACTACTTACATGTTGATACACTACTTTTAGTTGATACAATCATATATATATATAGATATATACACACCATGACGCCAATATGTATATGGGATTGCATGAGACCATATACCAATTGGTGGGTTATCTAATTTGCGTTTAAGCATATGGAAATATTGAACAACAATTGAAATATAGGAATTAGTACATATAAATGATGTTAATGACTCATATTTATGAGTCAAAATCTCGTAATTTTGAAAAAATAAAATTGATCAAAATATTGACGTGAACATAAAAAAAACAATATTTATTTGTCAAAAAAGATTACTTTTAGGCATATAGGTACTACTTTTTGTGCTGCACAAAAAATTAGTATATGTGTGCACAAAAGTAGTACCTATGTGCACAAAAAATGATACCTCTATACCTAAAATAAAAGTGATATCTGATGACAAAAAATTGTTACCCGTGTGCACCAAAAATGGTACGCATGTGCCTAGAAGTTGTACCTTTTGGTAAATGAATAATGATTTTTCATGTCCACATTAATATTTTGGTTAATTTTATTTTTTTTTCCAAACTATAAGACTTTGATTTCATCAAATAGTAAATATGGGTTATTAACACCATTTATATGTAATAATTCCTTATATATATATATATATATATATATATGTTCAAACTGTCATAATAGGAGACTTATATCTCAAGAACATGCCATTTAAATATATACACATGCATACATATACTTAGTAGTTTGCTTACCGAAGATGGTATCTAAAATTGATGCTAAAATGATGATTTTTTTGGCAGAACATTCATCGAGTCCGTGCAGCGTATGGAGATACTCAGGAGTGCAGGATGATGGAGTTGCAGATCATAATTCGATCTACTTATTTACTACTTTTAGCAGGAGTTAATTGATAGTAATTAGCATGTATGAGTGATTGTAAAAAATAAGTTGTGTGCAGAGTAGCTTAAATGCTTGTGGTATTAGGGAGGAAACAAAAAAAATTTGCACCAGCTTGTTATTATCCTTACAGACTAGAGTTTGTGGAATGTATTTTAAACTGAATTTATATATAATCATGTTTGGCAAGTACCAAATAGCATCTCTTATACATAATAAGTATACAAAAATTTATTTTCCTTAGACTATGGAAACTTTAATACCTATGGAGTATTTCGGAGTTGTGATAGGAGTCCGAAAGTTGAGGCATGTAATGTATAGAATGACTTTATTATGATTAATCCCCACTCACATCAAATAGTCTGTTGACTCTGTTAGTATGAAAGTTGGACTATTTATCATATATATATATTTATAATTTGGAAGGCGAAGAAGTACTCATAGGGTACAATTATTCCTTTGGACCCGTTTGACATGCGCTTTATTTTAGGCATTTTGTTTTTGATTAAAACAGAAACAATATTTTTGTTGTAAGAGTGTTTTAAAAAAAAAAATAGGAAGCATGATTGAGAACAATGTTTTTCTGTGGAAATATCGGAAATAGAAACATGCATAGTTATAGTTTTGGGCCATGAACAGTTATCAAAATAAGAAAAAATATTTTTTTGGTGTTTTGATTATTGTCAACTATTCACGAAGTATTTTAGCACGTAAAATAAAACAAGCCGCACCAAATATACTTTTATTGTCAAAATAGACACTGTAGTTGTCCAAAAAAAAAAAAAAAAAACGCATGAAAAACGGGGTTTGAGTGTACATGACTTTAAAAATCAGCAGCTATCAATATCCCGAGACTTCACCAATTATCATTGCCACTTTACTCTCTAGTCACTGGAAACAAACCTTACCACTACATTGCATTTCTTCTTCACCTTCTTGATTGTTGAAGCAATTGGGATTGTGTCATTTCATTCCAAATTGTCTATTTTTAATGCTTAAACTTGAAATTTATATATTGGTGTTGATGCTGCTTTCAAACTGTTCGATAAAATTACCCAGAGAGGTCAGAGATATTTATATATTGGTGTCGATGCTGCTTTCAAACTATTTGATAAATTTACCCAGAGAAGTTTAGTCATTCAGAATTCGATGTTTGTTTGAAAATTTGGTTGTGGGAGTTCAACTTTGGATGGTATGGGAGCTTGGAATTCTGTCATGCTTGTTGGGATGTTCTTATTTTTTTGGGTGACTCCGAGGTAAGACCTCGTGTTGTACTCTTTTTTTTCAATTTTAAAATTCACACGGAATAGCTGAGTTGACATAAGATCTCTCAGAACATTATATAGAGGTTTTGTATTCAACACTTGGTGGTGTCAAGGCTAGTCCATGGTGGCTATGAATCAATTGCACATGTTCTTAGATCAAACAATAATGGACTTGATTAATTAAGTTCTATTCGGACCACACAGCCAAAGAAAAAAGAAAATTCCACAATGAGCATATGAATCCTACGTAGCTTATTAGTCCAATTCAATCCAATTTATTTTTCGGTTAATTTGAACTAAATTTCCTTCCATTGCGAAAAACAAAAAACAAATTTACCCTTTTTGTCTTTGTTGCACTAATTTGGGTTTATCCCATTGTCTGATCAGAAATCTAGATGTTGGTCCATCTGACCATTGGTATTTCTTTTTTGATGAAAGCAAATATGGGAGAGAGAGACAAACAGAAAGGACAAAAGGTTGCTATCCCTGTTATTGTCAAGGTCTATAAAAAAACATAAGAGAATGGTCGTTTACTTTAGAGTTTAAACTGAAACTGTCTAATAACTCAAATATAGAAAAGTGTGCAACATGTGTAGGTCTATTATCTATATGGTCCACATATTCAATTGCAATATGAACAGTATAGTCAAAGAAGTGCATTGAGCACTACCCAGAAAAAGAATTTAAAAATAATACATATATTTGTTGCCAAGAAAAATCTAACTTTCCTGGCTTTGTTTTATTGTTTTTTGGATAATACATATATTTGTTGCCAAGAAAAATCTAACTTTCCTGGCTTTGTTTTTTTGTTTTTTGGATGATACGAATCTTCATGTATTTTTATTACTAGTAGCCGGCCTAGTACTTCAATTACTTATAGTCAAGACTCTGTGTGTGTGTGTGTGTGTGTGTGTGTTTTGCAGGTGAGTTATGGGGATTTTGAGCTTCTCTTTCTTTGTTATCTCTATTTTTGAAATTGTAGCTGCACAACCAGCCACTGCTCCAGATGAAGGTCTCTCTCATATATCTATGCATTCATGTTTGTATTTATGTATATTAATTGAGGCTGGTGTATAGTTTCATTGTTTGCTTGTTTGTATTGTTCAGTGGCTGCTCTTAATAAGATGATAGCTGACTGGAATTTGAGTACAAAGTTAAATTTCACAATTGACCCCTGCACCAAGAATGCAACATGGGCAGCCGAGAATGCGAATCCCCAAATCATGTGTGACTACTGCACAGCAAACACCTGCCATGTTACCCATCTGTCAGTTTATCATCATCATCACCAACACTTTCTCAATTGTATCATTCTTGTTATATACTACAAGAAATTTTCTGATTCTAGTGTTGTTCAGGAAGATATATGCTTTGGACATTTCTGGTCTAATACCCACAGAACTATTTGTGCTAAAGGAACTGAGGGACTTGTAAGAGAACAACATCTTAAGCTTTTACTTGTCACTTCTACTTTTGATGATTGAATTAATGATCTTGAATCATGATGCAGGAATCTTGGTCAAAATGTACTAAGTGGGCCCATCCCTGCTGAAATTGGACAGTTATCTAATATGCAATACCTGTAATTACCACTTAAACCTTTTGAAACCCTACTATTCTTGGTTTTTTTTTTTTTTTTTTTTTTTTTTTTTTTTTTTTTTTGCAATGAACAAGTTGTTACAATCTTTGATCCACATTAGTTATTTTGAATATTTGGAGTTAACCCATTTTCACCATTGTGTTCTATATGTTGGGGATTGAAACAGGAGCCTAGGCATAAACAATCTGACTGGTCGAGTACCCCCCGAGCTAGGCAATCTCACCAAGTTGTTGTCTCTGTAAGCAAATATCTTTCTCCTTCACACATTTGATCATTTTGTAATTTTTCCCTTTTAGGGTCATTAATTTGATTTTCTTTCCTATTACAGAAGTTTTGGCTCGAACAATTTGAATGGACCCTTACCCACTGAGCTGGGAAAGTTAACCTTGTTACAGCAGTTGTAAGTAGTTTGTCAAAATTATATTGCATAAGTTCATGTTAATTGATTGAGGCTATGACCTTAAATAGAGCATAATGGAAACATGGTTGTTGTTGTTGCTGTATGTTTATTCCATCGGAAGTGTTTAAAAGACACTTCTAGGAAAACTATCCAATCTTTCTAATTTAGAGAAACATGATAAGGTTGGTGAATGGCTAAGATAGGTTAATTGGCTTGAAATTTGGTTCCGAAAAATTCTAGGGGGACTAATGAACCACAACAGGTTCAGACCAATTTTTATCATTCAGCTCATCAGTAAAAGGGGACGGGCCTTCTGAATATGTATTGTTTGACTATTCTGTTTCTCATTTTCTTGGTCATTATTCTGATTAATCATGTGTTGTTCATTCAGGTACATTGATAGCAGCGGAGTGAGTGGACCGATCCCATTAGAACTAGCAAATTTGAAATCCCTCGAGATTATGTACTTCTCTGTCACTATCTTTAAATAAATAATATGGTGATCTCTTAGTATCTTAGGGGTGATGGTTTGTACAGGAAATTTGGCTCAAATGTGTTTTTCTTGTTTCAGGTGGGCATTCGATAATCGTTTTACTGGAAAGCTTCCTGAATTCTTTGGAACTCTTACAGCTCTTAAGGACCTGTATGCATGACACTATGTTCTGTTTTACATTTGATGATGATTTTGTGGTTGTATTGTAACATATGTTGGCCGTTGCCTTTGTGTCATCAACAGGAGAATACATGGAACAATGCTTCAAGGCCCAATTCCGAATAGTTATGGTGCTCTAACAAAACTGGCTGACCTGTAAGGACCTGGAGTAGCTTTCTTAACATTTTTACTAATTTTATATAAAACAAGCGCATCACCGAAGGGCATGGCTTTTCCTTATTGGCTTCATATGAGTAATTCCACACTCTCCAGTGATTGGACTAAGAAAGCAAATAGGCTTATTGAACTGTGGAAATATTTTGGATTATTGTACTTCAAATTGATGTGTCCAAGAGTGAACATCCAATGAGAAAAAAGTACACAAACCATGCTACATGTTCCAATCAATGAAACTATTGTTGACCGTGATTACCAGCAACAGCATAATTTTATGGTTAAACAGAAAAATTTTGCGGTAATTTTTATTTAATCTTCACACATGAATTGAACTGAGTGGTCTGTTCTTATAGATATATCAGGCACTGGTTGTATCAACTGATATTCTTTAATTTTTCTCTTGCACATGTAAAATGAATTTAGGACCCAATTTGTGGAAATCCGATTAACTTTTTTAATTACAAGTTGCTTCTGATCTTCTCATGTTCTTATACAGGAGAATAGGTGATCTTAGTGAGGAAGATTCTTCGCTTAACTTCTTGGAGAACTTGACAAGTTTGTCAACACTGTAAGATTTTGCAACTCTCTCCCTCTCTCTCTCATAGTTTCTGTTCATTTTCAGTTATTTATTACAACTGACATACCAATTTATATTTGCTATAGATCCTTGAGAAACTCTCGAGTGGCTGGCCAACTCCCAGAAAAACTTGGCACCTTCTCGAATTTGCAATCCCTGTATGTTACCTCAACATTGAAGCAGCTCTATTCATGTTGATATCCTTGGAGTTGCTTTATGTCATTTCTTTTAGTCTTAGTTTGTTTCATTCTTCTTGTCCCCCCAATGGAGTTTGGCTTATATTTTCGTTTTTATTAGTCATCATCTTTTTTGTTTTTCAATACAAGCTATTGATTATGCTTCTTGTTGCAATATATTTATGACGAAAGGGACTTGAGCTTCAACAAGTTGACAGGTCAAATACCAAACTCATTCCAAGACTTTGCTTCACTACAATATTTGTAAGTTATTCATTATTTGGTAGTTTCTATACAGTTTTCTGATAAAGTTACAAAATCAGTAATATAATAGTACTACCCTAAACATGAGTATAAGATTACAACATAAACTTGAATACATCCAATTTTTCGAAAGAATTGTAATGAGTTAGTAAATGGTCCACTGGTCTCTGAGGCATAAAGTTAGCCAGAATGCACGGTTGAATAATAATTGAAAATTTAAAAATAATACCCTTTTTCAAAATTACTGCAGTTCCTCAACACTTCAGCAACCACCAGTCATGTAATTTCGGTATATAGTTGGCTTTTTTCTTGACTAAACAAGACAACACTTTGGGAGGATCAATAATTGGCAGAGATTTTCTTAATCAATGAGGATTGAAGCATTGTATTAGATAAAAATCATGATTAAACCGACTTTTAGGTTTTGCTCCATTTAGGAGACTAGATCCAGAAAATTGGTATGATTGACAACTGATGTAACAGCTCTCAAAGAGTGAAAATTTGCAATATTAGAACCTGTTATCTTCCAATATCATAGAAAAAATAAATTTTGTAGGAGGCAGCTTTCTGGGTTATTGGATTGATATCCATATTTCCTGTGCGGACTGATGATTTATTGGATTGATATCCATAGAAAAAAGAAAATTTTGTAGGAACCTTTTATCTGCCAATATCACAATAAAATGACATACAATGCATTGAATAATGAGAAACTCCTTTCCAAAGTTTCATTTTCGATTGATAAAGAGAATTATTGCTTCTGGATTCTTACGCTCTCAAATAGCATTTTTTTAACTGCCTTTCCCCTTCTTAAGCACCCCATTAAAAATGTTTTTGCATATGCATATAAACAACATGCATGTGTTCCTGTCTGGACTCATGATTTATTTAGTTTCATTATATTGTTATCAAGCTGTGCGATTATCCTCCATGAAAGATGCTTTTTATATATTGCAGATATCTCGGAAGTAATAACTTGAGTGGCGAGCTACCTCCAAATATTGTAACTCAGAAGCTTGTTGCCTTGTAAGTCCTGATCTCTGAATTTTGGATTCTGCTCCTTTTTTGAAATAGTTAAAAGGGATAGTTGCAATGTGCTGAACATGATCCCAAATGGAGCATAGGATGAGAATAAGAAAATCAAATCCAAGACAAATTTGCCTCAAACTTCCCAATTCTTTTTGCTATGCATTACCGTCGGATTTCATTTAATAAAAACAGAAATTGCACGAGCAAACTATTATAGGCAAAACATATATATGCCCAAAAGGGTTCAGAATATGTAGAAAAATAGTGGCAACTTTTTATCTTCCTTGGTGCACCTAAACAGGCCTCGCTAATGACTGCAAAATATCACCATAGGACTGATGTTCGGGTTAATAAATTTAAAAATCAGAATGTTGTTTGGACATGCGCGTGATGATACTTCTTGATGAATTTCATAATACCTGTGAAGAATTTTTGGTGGGTGGCAAGTGTAGTAGACCAATATCTGATGGCGACTCTATAAAGCCATCATAAAAAAATTTCATTCCCGTTTCTGGTTCTTTTCGCATTTCACTCATGCTTCTAACTCCATCCATTATCTATGTCACCATGTGGCAGAGATGTCTCCTTCAATTCCATCTCCGGAAATTTACCACAACATTCTGCCAAAGCAGGATTATCTGTGTAAGTTAATCTCTTCAAGCTTTACAAGCTCACCCTTGCATTAGTATTATCAAGTAAATAATTAATTTGGTGATGCCACTCTTGGAAACTGTAGTTAGCTTACCTTGTAAGTTTTCATGGTGCCAAAAACTAACTACTCTTTCTTTCAGCAATGTAGTTGGAACTTCCATCAATGCAGACAGTTTACTGGACGGGTAAGTTACCTCATAATCCTACTAGCCATGACCTCAACTACAGAGATTACTGTGGCACACTGGCACTATAATAGTTATGACTTTATGCACTTCAAAGTTCAAAGTGTTACTTCATATAGAAGTTTCATGCTAGAAATTATAGGCTTTATAGCTGTAGGTTACATGATTTTGACGTTTTTAACTAATTTTGTCCTTTGTTATTTATTGTGTGGTGAAAATCAGAGTATGTTCTTGGTTTCATGTATTGAATTTTTGAAATTGACAGAAGTGAAATAAAATAATTCTAATGAACATATAACAATCGCCAAGGTCTGCAAGTGAAAGTTTTGAACTAATTTTATTTGTTTCTTAGTTGCAACAGGTGGAATCTGTACCTTCTCTACCGAAAATATGTTCCAAAATATTCTTTGGTTGTTTACAAATGTTTTTCCCTCAAGTATCATGAGAATCTACTGGCCTTAATTTCCCTTTTGGGGTGCGCTATTGGAAGTTTTCATGTAATAAGGGTAGAGTTAGGACTAAATAAGAAGTTGTTTATCGAAAAATAGTCAAATCAGTTAACTAATCCCGGCACTTCTTTTGTAAAATTCCTTACTTAACATTGATTGGTGCAGGAAGACATCCGGGATGTTGCATTGCCTTCTAGACAATAACAAGTGCAGTAACAAAGTTCCAGCCAGTAAGTACATGCCCTTCTAAAAAGAAGGCTTCCTCAGACCAACTCACCCCATACTGTAATTTTTAAAGTTATTTTAAGTGATAACTTCAGAAGAATGACTTCTACCTTATTTTTTGCATAAACTGAATCACTTCAATTTCTGTTGCATACCATTTGAAACAGAATTTCGTTATCTATAATGGAGCCATAATGTGGAATGGAGTACCACAGTTGATTTTTAGCATTTGAAACAAAGGCACATGTCAAGACCCTAAGACATCTGTACCAAAAAAACATATTCATCTAATTTCAAATGCTATGTAACATGATAAACTGACTCGACTCCCGTTCAGTGCCTATGGGATGTCCAGAAAGTACTATATATATTAATAAGAGTTTCTAGGTCTTGTTCTTGAAAGTCATTTTGCTGCTCCAAGTTAGTCTTCCAAATTGCAGCTTCTGTTTTTGTGAGAGACTAGCAAGGTTCATATCTGTAATTGAAAAAATATTTCTGTGTGGAAACTGATTCCTGAATAAGTCACTCTTCTTCTTTTTTTTTTTCTTTTTCTTTCTTTCTTTCCACCCCGCAGCAAAAAGCACACCCACTCACCCACTTGCCCTCCCTTAGCATGGTAATTAATATATGGTAGAAAGAAACTTGTGATGAGCAAATTGTATCGTAAAAAAAGTTTACGCAATTATGCGTGATGTTTTTATCTTTTTTCCAACGAATGTCATCTTGTGCTTGCTATTGTTTTAATTCACATATTAGTCTTTCCAATAAATTAATTTATGTCATTCCCTAATTTTCTTACTAAGATTTCCTTCTTAACTGGAATTGGCAACTCTTTCAACAGGTATTCTTATTTTAGACAGCTAGTAGCACCATTTTTCTCATTTTGGCTGAAAATGGCATTTTTCATCTGTTGTATTTTCATGTTTTCTTTTATTACGGTGAACAATGCAATTTGTATTCCTAACTTGCTGAACCATGTTTGAAATATGTGTTTTATGTTTATCTTATTTTTCAACTGTCTAGAACTGAAAGGATGAAAGAAGGATAGTTTTTATTATGGGCGGTTAATTATAAGTGGGGATTAATTGTTTGAGTTGTTCCCAATACTTTCAAAAGCAAAAGTGGCATGAAAAAATGTATAGGAGTTAGTTTGATGAATGAGTTCAACTGCTAATATGGGAATTTAGATGCTGAAATTTCTAAGTACTCAAAATTTATTTATAAAAACAAGGTATGGTAATTCAATTCATGAGTTGATAACCTACCAAAAAGAGAAAATATATATATATATATATATATATATATATATATATCATGAGCTGATAAGCAGCTAAAAGGAAAGAGGTACAATCCATGATTGCTTGTGCAGTGGTAAACACTGGGCTATCAAGCAGGCCAAACCTGATAATGCCGGTTCGAGCCTAATGATGGCCATTTTGTGCAAATAATGCCAAAAGTTAGGGTTGTACCCAATTTATGTCTCCCAGCACCCCCAGATTAAGGGAACCATACAAGTTAATAGCTAATAAGTAGCAAACAAAAATAATAAATAATACAGAAAAAAAAAAAAAAAAAGGAAGGGGGAAGAAGTGTGATAATGTTCTATATAAGATGAATGTTTTTGTGGTGTTTCTTTCTAACTTTAAATTGATGTTGAAATTCCATTGGGTTTATTTATTTTCTTTGTAGCTTCATTTTCTATCAAATGTGGAGGCACAGAACAAGTATCTGCATCTGGCATCAGATTTGATGATGATTCAGAAACACTGGGGGCTGCCTCATTTTATGCTAGCTCTGATAATCAGTGGGCAGTAAGCAACACTGGGATTTTCATTTCTAACCCAAATGGACCTCGATATATAACAAATACAGATTCCCAAATAACAGAGACTTTAGAGTCTGAACTATATAAAACAGCCAGGATTTCGCCGAGCTCATTGAGGTACTATGGACTTGGTTTGAAGAATGGGAAATACAGCATTGACCTTCACTTTGCAGAGATCCAAATGGAAGACACTCGATCTTGGAAAGGTCTGGGGAGGCGCTTATTTGATGTTTACATTCAGGTACTTTGAAGTTACAACGCACAATATAGAAATGAATGGTATTGAACAAAATGATAAAACAAGATTCACGTAGCCGATCTCTACTAGTTTGGACAAAGCTTTATTGTCAAATTGAGTTTAAAAATAGGTCTGGGTATCTTTGTTTATCTAAGTATCAGAAAGACACGCCCAAATTGATTATCAAGTTCTCGGTTCTCCCCATCTAGCCTGGAACCACTTGAGCCGCGATTGTTATAACTATGCAATTACAAAGTGCCAAAAATGCCTAAATATTTGGATTCAGTAATTTGGAGTTCATGAATTTCCTTAATGCTGCTAATAATTTTCATACCATTTGTATTGTTCCTGTATCATTTTTGAGTTCATGAATTTCTTTGGTATGATCTTCCAACATAAAGGGCGAAAAGGTTCTTCAAGATTTCAACATTCAAGAAGAAGCAGGTGGATCCAAGCGAGCGTTGGTAAAAACATTTGAGGCAAACGTGACAAACACGATCATGGACATCCATTTCTTTTGGGCTGGGAGAGGCAGTTGCTGCATTCCATTTCAAAGCACATACGGACCTTTAGTGTCAGCCATCCATGTTTCTCAAGGTCCTAACTCACATCACATACTTCATCAGACTTTCATCTTCAATGTTTTAACAAACTTTTTACTGATTCTCATGCCCTGCCTTTTGATTATTTTTATAGTCTCCGATGGTTTGGGTTCTTCCAATCGCGACAAGAAACGCATAGGAAGATTTGTTGGAATAGCAGTTGGATGTGCAGCTGGGGTGATGATATTGTCTTCTGTATTCTACTTATGGTGGACGAAGTATTCTCAAGGACACACGCGAGTTGAGACAGACTCACCGAAGAAAGGATGATTCTTACGATGATCCCTTATAAATTTATGGTGATTATAAACTTATTATGTTATCTCCTTCATCAGAATTAAAAACAATGTCTGCTTGAAGTGGTCTTGTTTTGAAAGTGTATGCCATTGGTCTGTACTCCCTGTACTGTAGTTGAATCAGATCCGAATACCACATTGGCCTGATGTATTAACAATTGTATAGTTAATAAGGTAGTAATTCAAGGTTCTCTTGTGATATTCTTGGTTTGTTGCTTTTTTTCTTGCTCTCTTTATACCACGTCGACTGCACTCATATTCATGGAAATGTTTTCTTTAAGTATATGTTGAAATGATTTTCAGTGAAACCATTCAAAATGTCAAAACATCCTTTTCAATATTTTGGTTTTTAAGATTTAAGTTCTATATGTCATTCATCCAAGTCAGTTTTTAACCGTGTTTTTTTTTTTTTTTTTTCCCCCTAAACCCAATTTAGTGCTTTAACCATATTCTTAGACTCCATTCCTGGCTCTTCCTTGCCTCATCTGTTCGCTGTATAACTCTCCCTTCAGCTCTATCAAATCTCAATGTCCAACGGTTATTACCCAGTGGCCTGGTTGGTAGAGCGCTCAACTCCTCGAGTGGGTGTTCAGTCCCCCTCCCACTTGCACCGACAACTTGACAAGAATTCATGATTACTATGAAATGCTAAATTTCATGAAAATATTTATGTTCCATTTTTTAGAACTGAATTAGCCTCTTAAAATTGAAATTGGAGGAAATTTGCACTTGATTCAGTTATCTATAACAATTTTTTGTTTTCAAAGAACTAAAAATTAGAGTTCTAAAAAATCATTAAAATTATAATAATAATAACCATTGAGCTGTTAGATTTCAAGATTTATTTATTTTTTAAAAATTTTGGGAGGGAAAGGGGGAGAAGTTAAAGTGATTCTTGAGTGAATCACTTGTAACGATAAAAAAACGTAATTTTCGCTAGCTGTCACAAAAAGTTGCTTATTCATCTTTGCTTTGCTAGCTGTTGGAATAAGTTTGGCAACCATATGTGAACTATATATATTGGTCATTCAGTTCAGCCTCTCTCTATAATCATCTATATATATGGCTGAGAATGTCATTGTCAACTTCAATCCAGGAACAACAAAGTCTGGATGTTTAAAGAGGGCTTGGTCTATTATGCAACGATTGTGTGTGTGTGTGTGTGTATATATATGTATGTATGTATGTATGTATGCCCCCATGTACTTTAATTTGGAAATTCTTGATCGATTAAAGCCACACCAGAGAAGTTTAGTCATCCTATAAAGCTTCACAATATTGGGGTTGAAGCTTCAAACTGTTTGATATAATTACCCAGAGAAGTTTAGTCATTCAGAACTCAATGCCAAGCATTGACTGACTAATAATGATGTTGGGATGTTATTATTTTCTTACCCTTTTTGTCTTTGTTGCGCTAATTTGGTCCATCTGTTGATTGGGTAAAAATTTGTTATGACTTTTATTGTCACAGTTTATGATAAATGAAGACAATTGTAGTTTGCTTTCAACTGAAACTGTCAAAAATAGAAGACTTTGCAACATGCATAGAAAAGTTGTACTGTGTCATGTGATACAACATAGAAAAATCCAACTTCCATCTTTGTTTTGTTGTTGGCCTAGTCCGTCAATTCCTTGTAGTCAAGACTCTCTCTGTGTATGTGTGTGTGTGTGTCTTTGTGTGTGTGTTTTGCTGGTGAGTTATGGGGATTTTGAGCTTCTCTTTCTTTGTTCTCTGTATGTTTGAAATTGTAGCTGCACAACCAGTCACTCCTCCAGATGAAGGTCTCTCTCTTATATCTATGCATTTATGTTTTTTTATACATGTAATTATGTTTATAAAAGTAGGTTAGATTCATTGTTTGCTTGTTTGTTTTGTTCAGTGGCTGCTCTCAATAAGACGTTAGATTCCTGGAGTTTGAGAATAAGTTCAAATTTCAACGTTGACCCCTGCACCCAGAATGCACCATGGGCAGCCGAGAATGCAAATCCCCGAATCGTTTGTGATAACTGCACAGAAACCACCTGCCATATTACCCTTCTGTCAGTTTATCATCATCATCGCCGCCATTCTCTTAATTGTATCATTCTTGTTATACTCTAAGAAAATTTCTGATTCTAATTTTCTTCAGGTGGGTAAATGCTTTGGACATTTCTGGTGAAATACCCAAAGAACTATTTGTGCTGAAGGAACTGAAGGACTTGTAAGACATCAACATCTATTTGTGCTGAAGGACTTGTAAGAACTATTTTTCACTTCTAGTTTTGATGATTGAATCCGTGATCTTCAATCATGATGCAGGAATATTGGTCAGAATTTTTTAAGTGGCCCTATCCCTGCTGAAATTGGGCAGTTTTCTAATTTGCAATACCTGTAACTCAAATCTTTGATGATTGAATCCGTGATCTTCTTTTTCACTTCTAGTTTGTTTTTTTTGGTCATTGAACCAGTTGTTACAATCTTTTATCCACATTACTTAATTTGAAGATTTGGAGTCAACACATTTTCACGATTGTGTTCTATTATTGAGAATTGCAACAGGGGCCTAAACACAAATAATCTGACTGGTCGCATTCCCCCTGAGCTAGGCAATCTCACCAAGTTGATTTCTCTGTAAGAAAATATCTTTATCCTTCACATATTCAATCATTGCCTAATTTTTCCCTTTTAGGTCCATTAGTTTGAGTTTCTTTCTTGTTACAGAAGTTTTAGCAAGAACAATTTCCATGGACCCTTACCCACTGAGCTGGGAAATTTAACCTTCTTAGAGCAGCTGTAAGTAGTTGATCGAAATTAAATTGCATATTTTCATTCCATCATAACTGTTCAAAAAGACACTTCTTGGAAAACTAGCCAAGCTTTCTAATTTAGATAAACATGATAAGGTTGGTGGATGGCCAAGATAGGTTAATTGGCTTGGATTTTTGTTCCAGAAAATTCTAGGGGGACTAATGAACCACAACAAGTTCAGACCATTTTCGTGGTCATTAATTCTGATTAATGACGTGTTGTTCATTCAGGTACATCGGTAGCAGTGGAGTGAGTGGACCGATCCCATTAGAACTATCAAATCTGAAATCCCTCCAGATTCTGTACTTCTTTGTCACTACCTTTAATTAAATATATGGTGATCTCTTAGTATCTTAGGTTTGATGGTTTATACAGGTCATTTGGCTCAAATTTGTTATTCTTGTTTCAGGTGGGCATTTGATAATCTTTTAACTGGAAAGCTTCCTGAATTCTTTGGAACTTTTACAGCTCTCAAGGACCTGTATGCAACACTATGTTCAGTTTTACATTTCATGATAATTTTGTTGTTGTATTGAAACATATGTTGGCCATTGCCCTTGTGTCATCAACAGGAGAGTTCAAGGAACAAAGCTCGAAGGCCCAATTCCGAATAGCTATGGTGCTCTAACAAAACTGGAGAATCTGTAAGGTCATGTAGTAGCTTTCTTAACATTTTACTAATCTTTTATAAGACAAGCGCATCACCGAAGGGCATGGCTTTTAATTCCTTCTTTGCTTCATATGAATGATTCCACACTCTCAAGTAATTGTACTAAGAAAGCTAATAGACATATTGAATTGTGGAAATATTTTAAATTATTGTACTTCAAATTGATGCCTTCATGAGTGAACATCCAGTGAGAAAAAACTACACAAACCATGCTACATGTTCCAATTAAGTGGAATCTTCAGTTCTTAAACTGCCATGTTGCTGTGTGTACTGCAACTACTGTTGTCCGTGATTGGCACCAGCATAATTTTATAATTAAACAGAAATTTTTTGCTGTAATTTTTAATTTAATCTTCACATATGAATTGAACTGAGTGGTATATTCTTATAGCTATGTCAGGCTGATATTCTCTGAATTTTCTCTTGCTCATGAAAAATGACTATAGGATCCAATTCACAGGAAATCCGATTAACTTTTTCAATAACAAGTCAAGGCTTCTTATCTTTTTATGTTCTTGTACAGGAGAATAGGTGATCTTGGTGAGGAAGATTCTTCGCTTAATTTCTTGGAGAACCTGACAAATTTGTCAATACTGTAAGATTTTGTACAACTCTCTCTCTCTCTCATAATTTCTGTTCATTTTCAGTTTTAGTGTACAACTGACATAACAATTTATATTTGCTATAGATCCTTGAGAAACTGTCGAGTGGCTGGCCAACTCCCGGAAAAACTTAGCACCTTCTCGAACTTGCGACTCCTGTGTGTTACCTCAACATTGAATCAGCTCTATATTATATATGTTGATATCCTTGGAGTTGCTCTATGTCATTTCTGTTAGTCATAGTTTGTTTCATTCTTCTTGTCATTCAGAAGAAGGCCTCCATGGAGATTGGCTTATATTTTCATTTTCATTAGTCATCATCTTTTTAGCTTTTCAATATTAAGCTTCTGACTCTGCCTGTTGTTGGAATACCATTATGATGACAGGGATTTGAGCTTCAACAAGTTGACAGGTCAAATACCAAACTCATTCCAAGACTTTGCTTCACTACAATATTTGTGAGTTATTCAATTTTTGGTAATTTTTATACAGTTTTCTGATAAAGTCACAAAATCAGCCCCAAAATAGAACTATACGGAGCCCTTCCGAATGACCTATAATATAATCTACTACACTAGCCCATATACATGGCTTACATACGTGGCTCAACATTCTTGAAAACAATCCAGTCGGGGGTCTGGAGGAGAATAGGCCATTCAATCTTGTGAACTAATCGAGACTGAAATTGGAAAAAGAGATATGAACAGAGGGGAATAACCAATCAAACAAGTATAAAGATAATTGGCAGAGAGTGAAAATTTTCAATATTAGAATTAGTGCATCTGGATTCTCATGCCCTCGAATGGCAATTTTCAATCGCCTTTCCCCTTCTTAAGTGCACCATTAAAAATGTTTATCTGTCTGGTACATATATACATTCGCTGGCCAAAAACTTATATGTATAGTAAGCTTCAACACCCTATGTTGATCATACCTACACCAAATGCTGGGAGAAACGGAATATAGACTGGCCTAGCATTTGTATTATTTTGCACAAAATATCGACTTTCATGCTCAAACACATGTTCTTATGCTTGTCTACCCAAGCTTTTGCATAGGCATAGCTACAACATGCATGTGTTCGTGTGTGGACTGATGATTTATTTAGTTCCGTTCTGTTATCGAGCTGTGTGATTATCCTCCATGAAAGATGCTCTTTTTATATCACAGATTTCTCGGAAGCAATGACTTGAGCGGCGAGCTACCTCCAAATATTATAAATCAGAAGCTTGTTGCATTGTAAGTCATGACCTCTGAATTTGGATTGCTCTTCTTTCTAGATTATATGGACAAAGTTGATGGAAATTATCTTGTCAATTTGAATGATTAAAGGGATAGTTGCATTTTGCGGAACATGATCCCAAATCGAGCAAAGGATGAGAATAAGAAATTCAACTCCAAGACAAAATAGCCTCAAATTTCCCAACTTTTTTTCTTTTCTGCTATGCATTACCCTTGGACTTCATTTAATGAAAACAAAAATTGCATGAGAAACTATTGTAGGCAAAACATATATATGCCCAAAAGATTTGGGAATATGCAGAAAAATAGCGGCAACTTTCTTTCTTCCTTGGTGGACCTAAACAGGCCTCGCTAACGCATGTAAATCATGACCAAGGCACTGGTATTCTGGTTAATAAAGTTAAATATCAGAATGTGTTTTGGACGTTAGCATGAAGATACTTCTTAATGAATTTCATAATACCTGTGCAGAATTTTTGGTGGGTGATAAGTTTAGTATGACAATATCTGCTCCAATGAGCTACAAGAAACCCACCCAAAATTCTTTGAAAAGTTGGTAATGTGAGAATAAAAATGATGGGGACTATAAAGCAAGCATGACACAATTCAGCTACAAGAAACCCGCTTGAATTTCTTTAAAAAGTTAAAACATGACTATAAAAATGATGGGGACTCTATAGAGCCAGCATAATGTTATGCATTCCCATTTCTGCTTCTTTTAGAAGTTCACTCATGCTTCTAACTTCATCCATTATTCTGTGTCACTATGCGGCAGAGATGTCTCCTTCAATTCCATCTCTGGAAATTTACCACAACATTCTTCCAAAGCAGGATTATCTGTGTAAGTATTAGTATTATTAAGTAATAATTAATTTGGTCATGCCACCTTGGAACCCGTTCGTGGTGCCATTGTTCTGAAAAACTAACTACTCTTTCTTTCAGCAATGTAGTCGGAACTTCCATCAATGCAGACGGTTTACTGGACGAGTAAGATACTTCATAATCCTAGCAGCCATGACCTCAACTGCTGAGATTACTGTGGCACTTTAATAGTTATTGGCCTTTTGCACTTCAAAGTTCAAAGTGTTACTTCATATAGAAGTTCCATGCTAAAAAATAGCTATACATTACATGATTTTGAAGTTTTTAACTAATTTTGTCCTTTATTATTTACCGTGTAGTGAACATTAGAATAATATTGAATTATTTTCTTGATTTCTTGTATTGTAATTTTGAAATTGACAGAAGTGAAATAAAATAATTCTAATGATGCCAAGGTCTACAAGTGAAAGCTTTGAACTAGTTGTATTTGATTTCTTAGTTGCAACAGATGGAATATGTATCTTTTCTACTGGAAATCTGTTCCAAAATTTTCTTTGGTTGTTTGCAAATGACGAGCAAGTTACCTCATAATCCTAGCAGCCATGACCTCAACTGCAGAGATTACTGTGGCACTATAATAGTTATTGGCTTTTTGCACTTCAAAGTTCAAAGTGTTACGGTACTTTATATAGAAGTTTCATGCTAAAAAAAAAAAAAAAAAAGCTTTAAATTACACGATTTTGAAGTTTTTAACTAATTTTTTCCTTTAGTATGTACCGTGTAGCAAACATTATAATAATATTGAATTATTTACTTGATTTCATGTATTGGCAAGTATGATGAGAATCTTCTAGCCATAACTTCCCTTTGGGGTGCCTTGTTGGAAGTTTTCATGTAATTAGGGTAGAGTAAGGACTAAATAAAAAGTTGTCCTAAAAATAGTCATATCGGTAAAGTAGTGGTTTCTCTCGGCGCTTCTTTTTTGTGAATTTCCTAACTTCCTTAACAATGATTGGTGCAGGAAAACATCCATGATGTTGAATTGCCTCCAAGACAATAACAAGTGCAGCAACAGAGTTCCGGCCAGTAAGTACATGCCTTTCTGAAAAGAAGGATTCCTCGGACTTGAACTTACCCAATACTGTAAATTTTTAATTATGTTAAGTGACAGCTTCAGGAAGAATGACTTCTAACTTATTTTTTGCATAAACTGAATCACTTCAATGTATGTTGCATAGCATTTGAAACAGAATTATTTCTAAAATGGAGTACCACAGATGATTTTTAGCATTTGAAACGGAGACATTTCTCAAGACCCTAGGACGTCCATATGAATAACGGATTCATCTAATTTCAAATGCTATGTAACATGACAAACTGATTTGACTTCCATTCAGTTCCTATAGGATGTCCTGAAAACAACCCATAAATTAATAAAAGTTTGTAGGTCTTGTTCTTGCAAGTCATTCTGCTGCTCTAAGTTAGTCTTCCAAATTGCAGCTTCTCCTGTTTTTGTGAGAGACTAGCAAGATTCATATCTGTAATTGAAGAAGGGGAAAGAATGGTTGATAATTTTCATCATCATCATCCTTGTCTTAATCCCTTATGAATGGGGTCGGCCACATGAATTCTCTTTTTCCATTCTTTCTATTACAAGCCATCTCTCCTCTAATATTGAACTTTGTAAAATCATTTCTAATGATTTCATCCCATGTTAATTTCGGGCGCCCTGTCCACCTCCTACCCTCTATGCAAATTAACCTTCCTCTTCTCATTGGCGAATCTATAGATCTTCCATGTATGTGTCCATACCACCTAAGTCTACTATCTCAAATCTTATCAGTTATCACTAAAAGGTGCCACACCTAATTTCTCCCTCACATTTTGGTTTGTAACCCACTAACCCCTTCTCTTCTAGTGGGTCCTATCATGCATCTTAACCTCCTTATTTCAGCTACATGAATTCATTTTTCTAGCTTCTGTTTTAAAGTCCAACACTCTGTGCCATATAAGTTAGTTGGCCTAATAATTGTTCTATAAAATTTTCCTTTTAGTCTATATGGCTTGGTTTATCACACAAAACGCAACTAGCTTGCCTCCATTTTGTCCAACCTGGGCCAATTCTACTAGTTATATCACTATCTATCTCACCATCTTTTTTGTATTAATGACCCTAAATACCGAAAGTGTGCACTTTGGATAATTCTTTGATTTTGAAGTGTAATCATTACCTCGTTAATATCCGATTCTGCACTAAATTTTCATTCTCTATATTAATACCCTTGTAGGATAAATCCACATTTTATTCTTTCTGCAGACAATTTTGGAAGTCCTCGATGGGATGGGGAGTGATCCATCTTCCCAATAACCATTTTAGGGTTTTAGTTATACTAACCCTTAACCCTTTTGATTTTAACATGTTTCTCCACCTTCCTAGTTTAATTAATTGCTAAGTTTTCTTTAGAAGTGTCCAGTAGTAGTATGTCATCGGCAAACAACATGCACGAAAGGATGTTATCTTGTTGATAATGTTTATGTAAGATAAATGTTTTCCTGGTGTACCTTTCTTACTTTAAATTGATGTTGAAATTCCATTGGGTTTGTTTATTTTCTTTGTAGCTTCATTTTCTATCAAATGTGGAGGCACGGAACAAGTATCTGTATCTAGCATCATATTTGGTGATGATTCAGAAACACTGGGAGCTGCCTCATTGTATGCTAGCTCTGATAATCAGTGGGCAGTAAGCAACACCGGGATCTTCATTAAGAACCCAAATGAACTTCAATATATAGCAAAGACAGGTTTCCATATAACAGAGACTTCAGAGTCTGAACTATATAAAACAGCCAGGATTTCACCTACCTCGTTGAGGTACTATGGACTTGGTTTGAAGAATGGGAAATACAGCATTGAGCTTCACTTTGCAGAGATCCAAATGGATGACTCTCGGTCTTGGAAAGGTCTGGGGAGGCGCTTATTTGATGTTTACATTCAGGTACTTTGAAATCACAGCGCACAATAGTACTAAATAGCCTTGTTTATCCAAATGTCAAAAAGACACTCAAATTCGGGCCCAAACTGATTACAAAAGCAGAAAGACTCTCCTGAGTCCTCTACTATATATATTTGAAATGTTTTGCTTCCTTTGTACAGCATGTGCCGTGTTTTACCCACCTGGTTTGCTTCTTCAACTTTTCCTTACTTATGGATGATCTTTGCTATGCAATTCTTAAACTTCACACTATTCTTGCTTCAATAGCTTTTTGAATCAGTGAGACACCTTAATGAAATGGCAGCCGCTCCCACTTTTTCCCACAAACCATAAGCCATTTGATTTCTGTGTTCTTGTATTAGGAATCCAAAGGAAAATGAGATAAATTTATGAAACGGCAGCATATATAACACTACAAAAAGACTTTTTGTAGTTTTTCTCTAGTGATTTTGTTGTCGCACTCTTGTTTTTTCAACTGATTAATTTCATATCTTTTGTGCCTATTTTCTTCGGTATGATCTTGCTACGTGAAGGGCGAAAGGGTTCTTCAAGATTTCAACATTCAAAAAGAAGCAGGTGGATCCCATCGAGCATTGGTAAGAACATTTGAGGCAAACGTGACGAACACAGTCATGGACATCCATTTCTTTTGGGCTGGGAGAGGCACATGCTGCATTCCATTTTATAGCACATATGGACCTTTAGTGTCAGCTATCCATGTTTCTCAAGGTTCTAAATCAAACCACACAGTCCATCAGTCTCTCATCTTCCATAATTAGTTTAACTAACTTTTTACTGTTTTTCATGCCCTGCCTTTTGATCTTTTTGTAGAGTCCAATGATTTTGGTTCTTCCAACCGCGACAAAAAAGACGTTGGAAAAATTGTTGGAATATCAGTTGGATGTTCAGCTGGGGTGATAATAATGTCTGCTGTAAGTTACTTATGGTGGAAGAAGTATACTCGAGGACACAAGCAGCAAGTTGATACGAACTCACCCCGGGAAGGATAATTCTTATGATGGCCCCTTCTGCGGGTGTGATAATAGACTTATTATGGTATCTCCTTCACCATCAACAGTTGCAGGGTTAATAAGGTGCCAATTCAAGGTTCTTCATGTGATATTCTCGGTTTGTTTTGCTTTTCTTGCTCTCTTTATCCCACATCGACTGCACTCGTGTTCATGAGACTATTTCTTAAAAGTATTAGTTGACATGATTTTCAGTGAAACCATTTAGAATGTCAAAGCAAATGTTCAAAATTTTGATTTTGAAGATTTTATATGTCATTCATCCAAGTGTGTTTTTGATACTTAATTGATTGATGAAATCATAAATTTCTATGATTTTTTTGTGTTTCCAGTTAACACCAGGGCTGGCCCTGGCCGTAGGCGACGGCCTCCAATTTGGGCCCCAAAATTTGTATTACTAATGCCTCTCAAAATTTTGTATTACTGATGTCTCTCAAAATTTTGGACCTCACATTCGCTTAGAATCTCATAAAATATTGTGCCTCTCAAAGCCGGTTGGCGGTTAACACTGTCCAAATATGCTATGAATTGTGGTACTTTTTGTTCCTAGAGTCACTTCTGTTGTTGTATTCATTCTACTAGTTGATCATGCTAGTCAACCCATGGCTATTTATTTATTTTTTGGTTGCCATTTTGGAACGAATGATGTTACCCTTCCTTTGCCCTATGATCTTGAAAGCTTAAATACTCAGATTCTTAGCCTATCATTGCGCTTTTCGCAACTGTTCATAGGAGTTCTGGTTCTATTTTATTGGTTTGGTGGATATGGGAATATTTTGATATTTGTCCCCTCTTCAAAAAGCTTTTGTGAGACACACATTAACTTCCTTACCAAATAAATAAATAAATACATAAATATATATATATCACATCGTTAAAATAAAAATAAATTTATTATTTTACCTTAGCCACCAAAAAAAAAAAAAAAAACCTTACAAACTCTGTCATTTCCTTGACGAGTACTCAAACACGGTTTACACATTTATTATTTTGACAGGTAAGAAAGTACTATTTAGTTATATCATATTTGATAAATTTTGTATTATCTTAAGCACACATCAAAAAGAAACCGTTAATATTTAGAGAAGTATTTTAGAGTTGGTTAACTGAACCAAAATTAGAAGTCCGAGTTTTGTTAACCCGTAAATAAATGACTCAGTCCCTTTCAACCATAATTTCATTTATTGCAGTGCTTGTGAAATTATTTACCGTTAACCGAAAAAGAAAACCTTCAGAATAAATTTTCTTCCATGAGTCTAAGTGAGTTGGTTTACAAGTCCATTTGAGCTTCTCATAACTTCAAACCTAGTTCAAAAAATAAAAGAGTTAGTATCTAAACAACTCAATTTTATTTGATTTGTGATCCTTAACAAGAAATGTCAAATTAACTCATGTTGGCGAAACGTTGAGCATTCTATCTCTAATTAAATAAAATTTGAGTAAGTTTTATGCTGTGTTCGATGGGAAAAAAAGAAATAAGATGTGTGAAGAGAAAATAGAAAGAAAGAAACGGACTTCTTTTGATCGATAGAGATAAAACAATGAAATAAAGAAAAATGGGAAGGATGACTCCTTTACAAGAAGGAGGGTAGATAAATGAACTATTATAAAAAATTTAAGTTTAAAAATATCTTAAATTATACAAGTTTTAAATTACACTATTACAAAATAATAAATATTATGAATGTATTCTCTTTTAATCTATTCAACCGAATAAAAAGAAAACAAAAAATACGCAATCTCTTCTACAAAGATGTATCATACATTGCTTCTTCTCTCCATTGCATTTAATTTTTTTTTTCTTTATTACCCAACAAAGCATTAATTAGGAACAGATTTAAAAAGAAAATAAAAAATCTAAATATGTCTTGTAGGCTGTGAAATATATATATATATATATATAAATCATAACCCTTTGTTGCTCATTGTTTTTAATGATAATAATTATAAATTTTAACTACCACGTTTCATTTGATAATAAAATAGAGTGAAATGAAATGAAATTAAGCGAGAAGTGACGTGGATCACTCTTTCAAGACCAAGCACTCCACCCACATTAACCTACTTGTTGTGTATTAATAAACTCTCCAACCTCGGAAAAAAATAAAATAAAATAACTCTCCAACAATCATATTTATTGTTTCTTTTACAAGGCTTTATTGATTTTGATTAAATAGAATGGTAATAGGACACAGAGAGTTGAATATTGAACAAATTCCTTTGGATTCAAAACCTCTAACCACTGCCGACAAGAGTTCAACAACAATATTTAATCTTTGGATTAATTTCACTAACAACCACTTAAGTTTGACCAAATATTACTCTAAAATAACTTTTAAAAATTATTATCACTTAGGTCCAATTTTATTTTTTTGTCACTAACACCGTTAAAAACATGCGAAAAAACAAATTTACCCTTATTTTTAAAATTCATTTTTAGCTAAAATATTAAAAAAAAAAAAAATGAAAAAGACAACATTGCCCCCAACAGTTTCTCTCTCTAAAATATGTGTGTGCATATATATATACACATACAAATAAGCCCGGTGGCCTTTGCATCAACGACTGCGACGGCGACGGCGACAGAACTATTCCAAAGATGACGAAAACCAGCAACGATTCCGATTGGGTTTTATCTGAAACAATCATTCCCACAAACAAACCCAAATCGACATTAACACCGTCAAAATCGCAGTCGACGGGCCACTACCACCCCCCACACCGGTGCTACTACCACCACCATCCCCAACCCCCACAGTCGGCAGGCAAAATTTCCCTCTCTCATCCACAAACAACCACCGGCCACTACCAAACCTAGAGGTTGTGATGGAATGACATCTCTTCTCCCACGCCATCATCACCTCGGACCTCTGGTATCAGATTCCCGACAAACGGCGATGGCTGATGTTTGTGTGTGTGGGTGGCGGCGACGATGGCTGATGTTTGTGTGTGTGGGTGGCGGCGACGATGGCTGATGTTTGTGTGTGTGGCAACGGCGGCGGATGTCTGTGTATTTATATCTAAATATATATCTGTGTAATGTATGTGTGTGTATGTGTGTGTGTGTGTGTGTGTGTGTGTGTATCATGGTTATCAAAATCGCGATTCTGAGTCGTAGAATCGCACGATTCTACGACTTAGCTCTTAAAATCGACTCAAATCGGATCAGAATCGCCCAATTGGTAGAATCGGGGGTAGAATCGGTAGAATCGTTGGTAGAATCGTAGAATTGTACGATTCTATACGATTCTACCGATTCTACCAAAATGTGTGTTTGGGCGGGCTTTTATACTATTTGGTCTTTGGGCCTTTATTCTTTTAGTTGTTTGGGCCAAAGCCTGGCCCAAATTTTGTGTAGAAATTTACTAAATTATATATTTAATTATTTATTCTATAAATCATAAAATACAAAACCTACTCTATTATAATATTAGAAACGGGGACCCTATCTCAGAGAGGAGAGGAACGAGGACTGAAAGGAGGCGGCAGTGCAGAGGCTTATAACGAGTAGATCGGAATCATCGAATCTATACAGCAGCTTGCAGGTTCGGCTAGGTATGTTCTTCCTTGATCAAGAAATTTCTAGAGTTTTTTCTAATCTCTATAACCCTTCGTAGTTTGATTATTCTAAGATTGTTCTAACCTTGATTATTCCTTGATTATTCTAACCTTTTATCTACTTGTTCTTAGAAATTATTCATCATGTTTTGATAATCTTTTGCATTAATGGTCTAATTTTAGTTTTAATTTTAAGTTCTGAGTCTTCTGACTATATTTTCCAATTTCTTTAGTTTTTGTTTTAATTTTACCTGGCCATTTAAATTTTTATCACTATTTTTTAGCACTATTTATGAAACTGAAATAGTGATTTTGTGAAACTAAAAAATTTAATAATGCGGAGGATGAGTGCAGAGGATGAGTGCGCAAATCACTATTTATGAAAAAAATTAATAGAAAGGGAAAAATAAGCAAAAAAAAAAAGTGAGTAAGAAGGAACAGTGTAACATTGCAATACTTAAAAGTATGTGACAAAATGAATTTGATTTGTAATATAGGCATTTGTTTCATCAGTGTGAATATTCCAAAATCATACGAAGTGGACTCCACCACAAATGCGGATTCTACATATGCCCTAACTCTTTGGAAAGATTTTTTTAATTTGGGCATCTTTAAATTGGAAACAAAAATTAAAGAGAAGCAAGGTCATGATTTGGAAGCTAACCTCAGCTAGTGATGTGTATCATATTTTGAGGGAAATGAATATCAAATAGAACCTTAACTCTAGGACAAACAATGAATGATGTGATCAATTTTGTGTTACATCTTCTTTTATTTATATTCAGACTTTGAAATATTTTCTTTTACTTTTATTTATATTCGGACTTTAGAATATTGTTAAGATTTGAGATTTGAAGTCATGGATATGTAATATGGTGTGTTTTGGCCTTATTTTGGTTATATTTTAGATATCTTATTGTTTAGGAAGTTAGTTTCAATTATTTTTTTTACAATTTGGTAGAATCTTACGATTCACGATCCGATTCTACGATTCCGATTTTACGAAACTCAAAACGATTCTACATAGAATCCCGATTTTAACAACCTTGGTATATATATATGCCTGTGTGTATATGTCTTTGTATCGGTTTGGAATTGAATGAAGAAATGGATTCAATTCAAAAAAAGGAGTTAACTGACTTACCAGATTTTGCTCTTTGACTTATGGCTCATGGAATTGAAAATGGTTTGAGATGATAGATTGAAGCTAGAGCTAGCGAACAGGTTGCCTCAAAAATGAAGTATCTTGAAACAATTTCTGTTGACCTTTGTAGGGGTTCTTTTTTAATCAAGTAATAAACAATAATATAATGGTGATATCAGAAATACAATTACAAAGGAAAGACAGAAGATATGCTCAGTGTAGGAAGAGGAGAAGAAGACCAACTATCAAAACAAAGATGGTGGTAGGGCAAATATAAAATATCTTATGACAGCATCCTCTTCCGGGGTTGGTTATTCCTTCATAGGATAGTACTATTTATATATCCGGATTCCATTGGTTATTATCCAATGGTCCCTTCCGTACATGGTTCCTCGCATGCATTACTCCTAATAATCCTGGAGATTTAGGAGTCTGAAAGATCTCCCTTAATCAGGGGCATTAAATGTTGCTTGGCCGTCGGTTGGTCAAGTCTGACACAGCATTAATTGTGATTTTAAGGTTTGCTGTCATGACATGTATAATGTAATACTCCTAATTTTAAAAGGATAGTCTCCGTATTTATTTATTTATTTTAATTGTATTTTTAATTATT